CAGCACTTGCCTATCGTTTGGATACAGTTTCAAAGCAGGCTACCTTGTCCGCATGAAATGTCGATATGTTTTACGGGCACCAAACGGCTGTTTTCTGCAGAATATCTCTTCCGTCTTCGCGCGGAGACCGTGAGCAAATATTGTCTCGAATTTTCTATCACTTGAGGACGGCAAAAAAGTTCTAGATGACCGTTCCATTCATGTTTTTCGTTAACTAAGGAAGCCTTTTTTTGATGGACAGAGGAGGATCAGAAAAATTCTTTCTTTTGTAAAACGTTAAATTGAATCTTAAGTTTTTGGAAAATAATACTGAAGCCCTTGCAATTTCGAAAAGACTTAAGCTCCCTTAGGATGACTAAACAGGTACAAATTTTGTAGCGCCTCTTTCTAGAGAACTAAAAATACTGTGAGCTACTCTGGATCGGCTATTAGTAAAAAGTGTTTTAAAGTATCAGTTAGGAAGAAATTGTCGTTGAACGCTCCCCGGGTTGAAGGAAATACTAAAGGGGAGATCAAACAAAACCAACGACTGCTAAGAGAAATCTTTAAGGACTCCGCATGTCTTATCGCAAGGGAAAATCACGTAACTTCCTATATATGAAGGAGTCGTGTGTCCAGTTCTCCGGCAATATTTCGTTCCTTGATCCTCCTTATTGGACGTTTTTGTTCTTTTCACTGTCTGTTAGAAAAAGTTAATTTGACAGTATTTTAAGAATTTTGGATGTTTGTTCAATTTTCATTTTATTTAATTTTTAGATTTAGTAAAGCGTTTTTTAAAAAACTTATTTTAGGCGAAAAATTTGTATAATTATTATATATCCTATACACCACCTCTCAAGTTACTAAGTTTTAAATATCATCGTGTATAAATATAGGTTTTGATTGATTGATTGACTGATTGCTTTGCACTTAATACGATTTGCAACGAAGTTGTACTGTGCCCTATTGTGGAGGAAAAACATTGGATATGGCTGCAAACACAATGTGGTTGAATTCCTTTGAATTTTATTACATGCAATGACTCAGTACGCAGATTGACCGCGGGGATTGACAGAATGACACCTGACATTTTAAGTATCTACGTACTCTCTTGATCCCATAAAGTACCCACAAAGGTGTCTTTAAGGGAAAAGCTTATATGGGCAATTCAGACTTTTTTAGCATGGTTGATCATGAGGAGATTGACATCTGCTAACAAACACCTTCTGTCCTTTTGAAAAATCCAAGCACGCGTCTGTTCCGTGCTGGAAGTAATTATCTTCAGTCTACGTATTCTCACTAGACCTGCCCACAAAGCCACTTCTTTGAGCGACGATACGGCCTCACCCATGACGGACTTGTGTTGACAAAAAATCCTGGAATCTTTTTAATTGTGGCAAGAGCCATTAACCTCAGCTATCCTATCAGCCTTGTTTTGCATTTAGCGGCT